TTGGGATTAGGCCTAAGATAATGACATATTATCAGAATCCCAAATTTAAGTTATGAGATACAAAGTCACAATAATGAGATAGAGGTGATAATATGACATTTTAAATAATTAAACGGATTAATTTTAAGATTTTTATGGGTTTAAGATATATATTTTTGTATTTAAATCATTTTAAAAAATTTTATTTAAAATAATTGAATTAAAATTTTATCTAACTGCCAGTCAAATGCATTAAAGATCTATGTAAAGTTTAGATTTAAATATCAGCATACAAATAAAGACAAATAAATTCATATTTCAAGTGATACCTGGGCAGAGGGGCTGAAGCGAGTTCATACCTGTTCTATCAATGCAAGATTACAGCTTATAGAGTTGAAAGTGTTATAGGCTACATTATACCAAAACTAAACTCAATATAAGTTTCCCTTCTGTTTCCCCGTTGTGTGACAGATGCGAGAGCTCAGAGGGAACGTATGCTCATACTTATTGGTTTTGGGAAAATATTATTCAGTTTTATTCAAATTTTTAAGGAGAAAACTTTAGTCCAGATATGGAATTAGCCCTGTTTGGGTGCTCTGACCCTGTGTCAGCATGGTCACATAATTAAAGGGCCATGAAACCCCCTCGTTTCAGCAGGGTGTTTTCACACCTCTACTTTGGAAACAGTCAGAAAAGTGGGCGTGTCCAGCTCTGTTTAGGGGGGAGTGTCGGAGGAACTAAAGTGGGAGGGTGTGGGAGTGTCTATTTGGGCACGCGCGAGTTTCAGAGTCAAAATTCACACACACAGTAGAAAGTGATGGTGTTTAACCTACATGGACATCTGTAGTCAAATTATTTGCCAAATTTTTAAATGGTGGACTTTAACTGCAGTTTGGCTCTTTTATTCAGGGAATTCAATCATGCCCCTCGCGACAAACGAGATATTTGATTCGGGGAGCTGCTCTAAGCGTGTATTTTTCATGCAATGTTTGATACCGCACGGCGAATGAGAGAAAAAAAACTCTGCATTTCCCGGAAACTTAGATGCACACGGCAGGTAGCCTCAGAAAGCCGCGTGTGTTATTCCGGTCACAAAATGCGGTAAAAACCCTACACGAGGTTAAAGTTTGGTTGTAGTGCTAACATGTTTGCACTCGGTGCAATAGTTTGTTAGATACAAACAAACTGAATAAACAAAGAGCACTGGTCGCTCACTTACCAAATCTGTAGAGACAGAACAATCACCAGCAACTAGAGCCGCGTCTTTATTAAGAGGAGACTAAAGCGAATCCGGATCGCAGCGTGTGCAGATGAGAACAGCTCTCAGGTAAACAATAATCCTCCTTAGACACGTAAGTTATTGTTGTCGAGCGTCGCGTACACTGTTAATCCACACGTGACTCCAGCTGAGCTCTCACAGAGAGAAAATGAAAACAAAACTTCACTGCAGTAAACTATAAAAGCAACACTTCACGCTTGTTCTGCCAACACAACGTGGCGTCTCTGTCGTCTAAACACTGTGACAGTAATGAATATTAATGAAGTTGCACAATAGAGCGCGCTGATTGGTTTAAACCAAGCCTTACTCATGCATTAATGCATCACACTGTAAGACGTAATAAGACACACTCTGGCACAGACGTCCAGTCTGCACGCTGGAATACACGCTATTATGTCATGACCGTGACGCAGCTTCAAAAATTCGTTTCAAACCGGAAGTACGAATTTGCTTGAAATAACGCAAAAACAACCAATTCACACTTTTTAGTGAAATATAGGTGTCCTAATAGTGTTTTTAGCAGTGTGGGACACATATACGACTGGTGTGTTCTGGTGTTTCGTGACCCTTTAACAAATGTCTGTTATGTTTGGTATGGTGGTGGATAAACGGGTGATCTTGAGGGATTGGAAGTCCACTTTACCACCTACTTTCTATAAATGGCTGACTGAAATGGTTGTTAAGCTTTTGCTAGGGCAGATGCTTCTGAAGAGTTCGAAAAACTCTGGAGTATTCGTCCCTGCTTATCTTCTAAACAGTTGAAAGTAGGGCGCTTCTGATTCATGGACAATTTCACTCTTTCTTTTCAATGTTTTGTAAAACTTAATAAGGCATATTATTTACTCTATGGTGCATGTTTGGATGGACTGGTGCTTGTTTTTTGATTGATTCACTTATTTAACTACTTATAAAAAAACTGTGATAAATAAAATATATTAAAAGGAAGTATGATATATAAGCTGAGCGCTGTAATGCATGCGTGTGAGTAATCCTGTCAGTCCATCACCTGTGCCTGAAACTGCAGACTGAGAGCGTCTCTCTCCTCCTGAAGACTCCTGAGGGTCTCCTGAAGGGCCAGTTCAGTCTCTGAGGGCCCTGAGAGCTGAGACGAGGCCTGAGGCTCCTGTTCTGTGCTCATCACAGCTGCAAACATGAGGCAGATCCATCATCTTTCTGTCTGAACAGTGACATGCTGAACAGTGTGTGCGCGTGTGTGTTGTACCTGCAGTGTTTTCCAGCTCCATGATCCTCTCCTGCAGCTCCAGAATCTGAGCAGCAGTGCTGTCTCGCTCCTCTGACATCAAGCGCACCTATATAATACACAATAAATATGAACGACCAATCAAAACAACTGTGTGTGGTTTTCTAAATATAAGCTAGCCTTGTACAGCCTCCATGCTTTTGAGTGTGTAACAGAAGAGTGTGTGAGCTTTGGGAGACAATACATCCTCATTAACGGACTGTCCTGTTGCTTAGTTATGACACCTGTCAATCATCTCCACACATCATGCTCATTTCTGTCATATATAATTACCTACAGTATTATAATTCAGCAGCAGCAGCAGGTTAATCTGCTGTTCGCGAGTGTTTCCTACAGAGAAATCTTCTTAGGTATTTGGAAAATTCTCCATTCAGAAGTTAATGGCCAAACACGTCTTGATGGAAGTTTATATTGTTGATGTAGATTAAATATAACACGGAAAACATGATTTAAATATTAGTATCAGTAGACATTAGTAGCCTAATATTACTAGATATTGGGCTAGATATTAATTTATAGTCATTCAAACAACTTTAGCGAAGCCTCTCTACTTGATGTTTGTAGTTTGTTTACACTTTTTACCCATGTTTTTGTAGTTCTAATCGAATGGACAATGTACTTATGTGTAGGGTTGTAACAATATACCGGTATGACGGTCTACCACGATTTGAACGTGCACGATTATCATACCATGAACAATTGCATATCAACGGTTTTAACCCTTAAAGACCGAGACTTAAAAATAAGTATTGCTCTTAAATGTTTACTAACTTTTGATCCGCTGATCCGATTCATACAATTCAAAGATTGGCATAAAGAAGAGAATCTCAGCTTTCCAGTGCTGTATCACATAACATTCGCGGACTTTCAGAGGCTCCGGAATCAGTGCGGTTACGTCATCAAAATTTGACAACGCTGATTTGACAAAGAAACGCTCGTCACTGTGTCTCCGGACAAACCAGACATCATACATTGATGCATTGTCCCTCCTCCATGCCCAGATTGGTTCAAACTCGCTATATCACAACCAATAAGCATAGGTTTCACTTTTGTTTGTGGACCAACAATGAGCTTTTTGAACAACACGGAATGAGAGATAGGCATACATTTCTGCGCGGCTAAATAAAACGCAAAAAAAAAAGTTTTGCATGAAATAATTCTCATACTAAGTACTTTTGCATGCACAGCAGCACAGAAACATGACAAAACAGTGACACAGCAAAGACGAACTGCTGCTCTTGCTGTTTTCAAAAGACACAAATGAAGGTGCAGCTGTTTGTCTGCATTGCATACAACCATATCCAAATCCATATCCACAGACAACCATATCCATGCTGGCACATAAAACCTAAGGATGTTCCATATTGAATCTAGTTTCGTTATGTAACTATTTATAGTATAGTAAATATTTATATCTATTTTTTTACTGAGGATTTGCACCATGTTTATTTGGACTTTATTTGGACTTTGACACATTATTTATTATTTTCTTATTTTTTTATTTGTTCATTGTAAGTGGTGTTGTTTATAGTAACTGAAAATATATTATTTGGAAAAAGTCAAATTTGCTTCACTGTTCTATTATTTTGTAACATTTGGAACATACCGTATACCGCGAAACCGTCAAACCGTGGTATTGTTTTAGACGATTATCATACCGTGAAAAATTCATACAGTTACAACCCTAATTGTGAGTAATATTAGCTGTTAAAGTACAAATGCTTCTAACCACATTTCTACCTGAAATAGTAGTGCATCCGGGAATCCTTGGCAGAGTCTTTTTAACATACTACAGTTTGGGACACACCAAGTCTGCTTTCAGGCATATATATATGCCTTTTACACATCCATAATACAGCCTGGTTTGGGGCAGCACGATGGCACAGTGAGTAGTGCTGTCACTTCACAGCAAGAAGGTCGCTGGTTTGAGCCTCGGCTGTGCCAGTTGGCGCTTCTGTATGGAGTTTGCATGTTCTCCCTGTGTTGGCATGGGTTTACTCCGATTGCTCTGGTCTCCCCCACAAGCCCAAAGACATGCGGTACAGGTAAATTGGGGAGGCTAAGCTGTCCTTAGTGTTTGTGTATGAATGGGAGTGTATGGGTGTTTCCCAGTACTAGGTTGCAGCTGGAAGGGCATCCGCTGCGTAATGCTGGAATAGTTGGCGGTTCATTCTGCTGTGGCGACCCCTGATTAATAAAAGGGACTAAGTCAAAAAGAAAATGAATGAATGAATAGCCTGGTTTGTCAGTTCGTTAGATCCTATTGCTTTCTCACTACAACTGAACTGCTCTAGAGTTTGTTTCAATCAAGCTGAGACCACCTCATTCGGGTGAACTCTGACTGATTGTTTTGGCGCTGACGGAGCGCGACTGCTGTGTTTACATATGACCAAACGAACTGAGCTAATGGGGCAGACACACCAGGTTCTGAAACACGCGTCTACGTGTGAAAGCACCCTTATACTATTTATTCACATATTAGTATGTGAATGAGGATGCAGTAAACGTGATATACAGTGTGTTATTATTCAAAAGTGTTTGATAAATATACCTGAGACAGGAGCTGCTCTGTTTTGTCCTTCCACACTCGTCCATCCTCCTGCATCTGTACAGCGTACTGATCTCTCTCCGCCTGCAGCTGAGCCACCGACTCCATCAGCTGCACATAGTTAATCCACTGAGTTAGCATGAACAACTGCATGTTCATTAACATTAACAAACATTAATACTGTAATTAATGCACGGTTCATTGTTTGCTCATCTTAGTAAATGCATAAACTAACATTAACTAATACAACCTTATAGTAAATTGTTGCTGATTTTACTCACACTTACAAAATGTATGTACATCTTGCTGTTTCCATAAAACAATTATTATGTGATAATCCCAAATGTGCATTAAAATAGATGCATGAGAACATGGCTCCACACTGACAGGCCTTTGTCATTATCAACACACACCTGAGTTGCGTGATTCTCTAACTGGTGTTTTTCCTCCAGGAGGAGCTGAAGCTGCTGGTGTTCAGATGGAGGACCAGACTGACTGGAGAACTGCAGGATAATCATTGCAAAAACAGCAAATCAGAGTTACAGTTATACTGCATGCAGAGTGTGTGTGTATGGTGTTTATATGCAACTTCAAGAACATATGAAAACATCAACAAAAACACACTAAATATGTCGCGGTGAAGATTACGGATTAACATTTTTTTTTTAAATAAAAATAAATGAATTAAGTTAAATTAAATAAAAATATCCCCCAAAAATATAGAATCTAAATAAAAAATAAAAAAAAAACACAACAAAACAGACTTAAATATGTTGCAGCAAAGGTTACGGATAAGAGATTTTAAATTAATAATATATAAATTAAATTAAATTAATTAATTAAATAACATTAGTAAAATATGATTAAATATGTTGCGGTGAAGATTACGGATAAAAAAAATTTAATAAAAGCAAATAAATTAGATTAAATTTTAAAAAATATCCCCCCAAAAATATAGAATCTAATATAAAAAAAAAAGAGTTCCAAGAACACATGAAAACAACAACTTAAACACACTTAAATAGGTTTCAGTGAAACTTATGGATGAAAGATTTAAAAATAAAAATATAGATAAATTAATTTAATAAAATATCAAATATATATAATCTAATAATAAAAATAAATAAGCAAAACTGAAATAAAATAAAAAACAGGAACTCCAAGAACACATAAAAACAACAACAAAAACACACTTAAATATGTTTCAGCGAAGAAAATTTTTTTTTTTAATTTTAAAGTAATAATAAATGAAGGTAAATTAATTTATTTATTAATAATAGCAAAAAAGAATAATAATCTAATGATAAAAAAATCTTTAAAAAAATATATATAAAAAAATCAAACGAATTAGAACTCCAAAAACATGAAAACAACAAAATCACATTTAAATATGTAGCAGTGAACACTACGGTTAAAAGACTTTACAATAATAAATCAAAGTTAAATAAAATCAAGTTAAATAAAAATATTAATAATAGATTTAAAAAAACTCTTATAATAAAAATAAAATGTAAATAAAATAAAAAGCAAAGAACAGATTTTAAAATAATAATAAAAACAAAGATAAATAATGATGATAATAATAATATAATAAAAAATAAAATGTAAATAATAAAAAGCAAAGAACAGATAAAATATTTCAAAATAAAATTGAAAACAAAGATAAATAATGATGATAATAATTATGCATAATGCATTATCTAAAATAAAAGCATATTAAAGTTATATTAAAATTAAATTAAATGACATTAAAATAAAATAAAATAAAATTTCATTTAAATAAAATTAAGTGCATCTAGTGCAATCCTACATACAAGAAATAAGGTTGTACACCATGTCGATCATGCTGTATGTATCCAAAACAAAACCAGAGATCGGGGTTCTGTGACGGGACTCAATTACAATGAACAGGGTCAAGCTGAAGACTTTGGGCATATTCTCGGAGTGGAAGAATGAAAACATCACTCTGTCGTTAAAGATAATACCTGATTTGTCTTCAACTTAAAATAATAAACAAGTGTGGTGTTTTCTGACCTGCTGCAGCATGACGTCTGCCATCTCCAGGCGTTTGCGCAGATCCTCCAGCTCCAGTTTCAGAGCGCTGTTTTCATTCACTCTCAGCTTCAGCTGCTCGGATAATTCAGAGCTCTGCTGCCTGGACTCCTCACTCACATTACTGACACACACACACATATATGACACGGCAGCTTTATTATATGTGATTATATTAATAATTCACATTACACAGAATCAGGTTTTCCACTCAAATGCACTACTTATTGCTTTTCTATCTTATGCACTGGATGGATGTGCGTGACTGTTAAGATCACGTCTTGTGTCTTATGCAGTGTCTCACACACACGAGCACTGCATTTTTTAAGATGCTGTGCCAAAGTCAAGAGCAGTCCAAAGCAGTGGAGCACTCAGAAAAGCTTTACGAGACTCTTTTTACCTAAACATGTTTGCATGAAAACCGCTTTATTAAAATCTTCAATCATACTTTAATTTCGATTGTAAGGTAATAAGCTGCATCTTTTGTAAAGATCATTTTTGGAATGATAATTATTACAAAAAGCACAACAAATAAACTTGAATTGAATAGAATATTTAACTATCTGCTGCATTGGTTTAATAAGTCAAATTGTTCTCTGATTTATACATAGTAGGTTTATGGCTAAGTTAAAAAATAATAATAATAAAATAAATAAATAAATAAATAATTAAAAATTAATAGATATGGTTTTATCGGCTCATTTATTATTCCATAAAATCAAATAAAATATTAGAAGGTCCATAATTGACCATATATGGATTGTGTTATGAATATTACTGAGTGGCTTCCTAGTAGGGCTGGGCGATAATTCGATGATGAACTGTGTGGACGCATCTCACAACGCAAAGCATAACTAAACCTTTACATGTCCATGCTTAATCAGTCATCGATAAGGTCGATCAATTAAAGCGTTATCAACAATCAATAGATAAATACATTAAAGTATATTTCACCCTAAATTCACCATACTCACCATTAAAAGGAGAGTTCATCCAAAACTGAAAATTCTGTGACCTTTAACTCACATTGTCCCAAACCAGGTTTTTTTTTTTTTTGATGTTGAACAATAATATTCAATGACTTGTAGGTAATGTCTTTGGTTGTTGAAAACTTGAACAGTAAATGCTGAATAAAGATTGTTCTTTTGTTTATTATTTTATTATTTATATTGTCAGACAGCTAAAACATTTCACTAAATGTGTTAAATCAGCTGCACAAAGCCATTGGCATGCTGAAAATCTTATATATTTGATAGATATAAAGATTTTACATTTATCGTAATAAATATCGACTGATATGAAAAAAAATATCGTGATAATTTTTTTTGCCATATCGCCCAGCTCTACTTCCCAGTAACACATAGTAATCAATCTGCGGTTGCGTTTTCAAAATAAAAGTCCTACATACTTAGTAAGTTCAATATAAGCTTTAAAATAATTAATGGAGGGAAAATTACTTTTGTTTTCACACTAGACAACGTTGTTGCTTATCAAACCCAGTCTGAGGCGTGCATATTAATGATTTCAGAGATACATACGAGTCTGTGTTCTCTTGATGATGTCAGTTTCGGATGAACAACCTAAAGTAGTCTTACATGCAAATGCAGAGGCGTGGCAATATATACATGTATGCACACAGAAACCTGTAAATAAGTATAAGAGAAAAAACTATGCATAATGTCAGAGAAGTACATAATGAAAAAAGTGTCGACTAAAACTATGTAAACCATCAAACAGAAAAAAAAAAAAAAAAAAAAAAAGAGTTTGTCACCTATTTCCTGAGACATCATAACGGTTTCTCCTATGTTGTTAAATTAAATCACTTAAGTTTTAATAAAGTGTCATGTGTTTGGCTCCAATGAAGGATTGTTGAAATCTTTTGTTAATTAAGGCAGTGGACTGTTCTAGTCGAGCAATGTCTATAAAACAGTATAACCATTGCTGAACTGATTAGGAGGGAACCAGGAACTGATGATTGTTTTCTTTGCAGCTGTTGAACTAAATTTATTTTTGAGGTCTTGGTCACTATTTGGAGGGCCGAAACAAATAGCCTCGGGGGCCGGGTTTGGCCCGTGGGCCGCCAATTGAATAGCCCTGCCATAGGGTACATGCAGAAGCATGCTAAACGACTTTTAATTTGCCAGTAACCTGGGTTTAGCGCTTCTGGTGAACTGTATGGTATTGCAAAATGCGTTTGAGGTCTGTTTTCTTTTTTTTAAATTAGCGATGTCCTCTGGCTGGGTGATATCCGATATAAAGTGGGTCTCAGATTGTACAAGAAGCACTGCATTAAATTACATATTTCATGTCTTTATAATATGAGCATTTATTTTACCCCAGTGTATTCAATGGAGCTTCTGCGCTGGCCTGCCGATTCTGACGGGCATGTGCGAGTAAATTGCTTTTTGTCTCGTTTTACGCTTGAGCAACTAAATGAAAGCCAAAGTCTATTTAACTGATTATATTTTAATGACAGTACAACATCGATGCTGTAAAAGTAACCGTACAAAATGGAAAAAAAAGTCACAATAACCGTTCACCGGAAGTTTATCAGTATGGGATGAAACACTAGCTCTGCGTATATTCTATTTCCATACACTGATCTCATATTATGGCCCGTTTCCACTGAGTGGTACGGTACGGTTCGGTTTGGTACGCTTTTATGGCCGTTTCCACTGTCAAAAGGCGTACCGAACCAAACCGAACTACTTTTTTAGCACTCTTTCGAAAGGGTCCCAAACACAAGAAAGGGTACCAAAAGGCGGAGCTAGACGCGCAGCTGAACGCTGATTGGTTTACAGAGATTTGTCATTCGCTTACGCAATAAGCCAGAATGTAAACAAAAAGACACGTTTAAAATACACAGCGAGAGATTACAGCGGAATTATATATACATATATAATAGCTAGCCATGGTCGATCCGGGCTCAAACAAACCTTGTCATCGTCTTGATGAACAGCCACAAACCCATGGAGTAGAGCAGAATCTAGCCTGTGCCTCGTAGTTTCTTCTTCAGTCTAAAGCGCGAGCGATTTTGATTTCCTGCTTGCGCTCGCCGCACGTCTATATCTGAAATAACAAACTTCTTGAGATGATAATAATAACGTGCGCTTGATTATTGACGTTCTTTAAAAACCTGATCCTGTCAGAAGCTGACAAACACGAGAGTGACACATTCAGAAAGAAAAGGACAAACGTGAGAGTGGAGCGCGGAAAAAGGCGAAGCCAAGGAGCACGTTATTTCTTCAGCAAGCGTGAACAAACTGCCTTGTTTTAATTATTATCATCACCTTTTGGGCTAATATGAACTGGGAATGATGGAATGACTCTCTAACAGAGGCTACATGTGCTGCTGAAGATTACAGACACAGATGAGAGGTTTTCGCTGACTGTAGGCTATACTTTGTGTTGTTTTGAACCTAATTAAGCACTAAATATCTGCTGTGTGTAGTTTTTCTGTAGTTGGTAACATATCGAGGACTGTAAGGGTCTGTATGTGTTCTTATATAATCATTTATTTATTTATTTAATATAATAACAGACGTTACAGTAGGCTATTTCGCACCGTCATTGATCTGCAGTTATAATCAAATCTTGTTCATAGAAAAGTCAGTAATAAACATTTATACACAAGTATTTATGTGTGCAAAGCGTCTGTTTTGTGAGAAGTGCTTTTCATATGATATGTGAGCGACCTGTGCAGCTTTATTGTAGACATTTTCTCGAGCGAGCATGACGTCGACTGAAACTTTGTCATACACCACGCCCACAAAAAGGGTACCCTTGCTAGTGGAAACGCAAGCCTGATAAAGGTGACCCGTACCGAACCGAACCGTACCGTACTGTATCAGTCAGTGGAAACGAGCCATTATTCTACTATGCCCGAGTATACCTACATTTTTTTTATAGGACACCTTGAAACACGGTAGACAAGGCACTCTATTTAAAATCCAATCCTGAGCACTGAGTCTCACATTGTTAGACAAAGATGCATTAAGTGTGTATTATTTCAAATGTTTTACCTACGTTCACACAAATGCTGATAAATGAAGAGACTCACTTAAATCTGATGATCTCTAACCGTAGACTGTCTCTCTCCTTTTCCAGCTCTTTGTTGTGCTGCAGAAACAGCAAGCGTGTGTTATTATCATATTAATGTGTTCAGATGATTACAGTGATGAACTGATGGAGGATCTGTACCCTCTCGTGCTGCTTCTGCTGTGTAGAGACTGAAGATAGTGTTCTCTCTAACTCAGACACTCGCTGCTTACTGGCCTGCAGCCGCGAGCTCAGATCCTCTGCCTCTGCTGCAACACACACACACGCACGCACATCAGTATCGGACATGCTAGGTATTTCTGCTGCAAACACACACACACACACACACACACACACAACACAAACTTACATATACACTCACACGTGTACACTCACAACCCTACGCACATCAGTATCAGACATGCTAGACACACACACACACACACACACAAACACACATCAGTATCAGACATGCTAGACACACACACACACACACACACACATCAGTATCAGACATGGTAGACACACACATCATTATCAGACATGCTAGACACACACACACACACACACACACACACACATCAGTATCAGACATGCTAGACACACACACACACACACACACACACACACACAAACACACATCAGTATCAGACATGCTAGACACACACACACACACACACACACACACACACATCAGTATCAGACATGGTAGACACACACACACATCAGTATCAGACATGCTAGACATACACACACGCACACACACACACACACATCAGTATCAGACATGCTAGACACACACACACACACACACACACACATATCAGTATCAGACATGCTAGACACACACACACACACACACATCAGTATCAGACATGCTAGACACACACACACACACACACACACACATCAGTATCAGACATGCTGGACACACACACACATCAGTATCAGACATGCTAGACACACACACACACACACACATCAATATCAGACATGCTAGACACACACACACACACACACACACACACACATCAGTATCAGACATGCTAGACACACACACACACATCAGTATCAGACATGCTAGACACACACAAATCAATATCAGACATGCTAGACACACACACACACACACACACACACACACACACACACACACACCAGTATCAGACATGCTGGACACACACACACATCAGTATCAGACATGCTAGACACACACACACACACACACACACACACACATCAATATCAGACATGCTAGACACACACACACACACACACACACACATCAGTATCAGACATGCAAGATATCCACGTATGCACACTCGCAGGCATGCACACACACAAACGAGCATGTACAAACACACACAAACAAAGGTTCACACAAACATGGACATGCTCTCGCACACACAAACGCGCATGCACAAACACGCACGCACAATGTGAACACAAACATGCACGCATAAAAGTGCACACACACACACACACACGCGCGCACACATACAAGCGCACCTGCTTTCTGCCGCGCTGCCTGCTGTGTGTAAGACAGGGCCGTCTGCAGCTCTGATTTCTCAGACACCAGGATGCCGATGGTCTGAATGTGGACCTGAATGTGGAGAAATGACACAGCATTACAACACAGCTTCATCACATCACCTTGTTTTTTCAATTAATGCTGTATTAAAACTTTTCTTTCCACCATGTTTGAAGATTTTTAAATGTGTGAATATCTTGTTAGGAAGAAATCAAATTGCACGTGTTTATTTCAGGATTATTATTGATATGTTACACTATATATACACACATTTACTCATCAGCCAAATACTATTAATGATAAAGATAATATTTTTTAGTTTTTATTAAATTGTACGTTCGTTTCAGGATTATTATTGCACAATAATGCCTCATTCCAGAATTGTACAATTTAAGCTTTTTGCATTGCTTTCTTTAAACTGGTATGATTCACAGTAAACTGAACACATTATTACTGTTATCTAATGTGAAATGCTTAAACATGACAGGGGACATTTAATTCATGACTAATTTCTGCTTAACTCAAAGGTTAAACTTTGTAAACTACTAACAAAGTTAATTGAGTAGCGGGCGGGGTTTATTTTAATATGATGACATATTTACAACTGAAACTGAATATTAAGTAGGAGGCGGGGTTTAGTTATTTTCTATGGAACAAACTATGGAAGGGCAAATATAAATGACCAAAACATCATTTACTTATTTTACTCATACTCAATTTATTACTTATAATGTCCGAAACATTGATATTAATATTAAATGCTTTTTAAACTAATATTAAAAACTTTTGTGCCTTAATTAGCTTTTTTTCTGCCTATTAACTGGGTTAAAAATCTGAAATTATTCCATCTCCACCTGCTGGTGAAAAAGCAGCTGGCGATCTTCAATCTGCAATCTATTGCTTTTCCTGCAGTTCCCGGATGTAATGTCTAATTTTAACATTTGAATTTGAGCCACTGAATTTATGGAAGCGAATATTTGAACCGAAATCAAATGCACTGAAAATTGCCTTTTGAATATTATACATCATATTTTTAAAGAGTATTTTGTATGTGAAATTTGGAAATTTAATATAAATTATTGAATTTATAAACTATAAAAACGTGTTTGAAATATTTTCAGATTAAATATTCACAGCTTAAATAAACGGATATGTTAAATTTCAGCACCTAAAAATACAAAACCTGGAATTCAAGCCTTAAAAATGTAAGAACTTGTTAATTCCGTCTATTATTTTTTTCATAATTCGATATGCTTTTTAATTCAATACTTTTTGCATTGATTTTGTTCCATACTTTTCCATCATTAGCAGCATTTCCACTGTCGGGCCAGTGCGAGCCAGGACTTTTATCAGGCCGGGCCAGACTAATCGCCCGGGAGGTTGAGAAGTGTGGGCGAAATCATGACGCATTTCCACTGTCAGGCTAATAACTCGCAGCGCAGCACGCAAACCCCGAAAATCAAACGTCACACAACCCGCCCAGTTCAGCGGGAATCAGGCAGACAAAGCACACCCTCGCATCAATTAAAATGTAGACAACCGAAACAAACAAATGACATGTTACTGTGCAGCATTACATTATATGTCTACACGCACAGGCCTGTGCATTTCATTAATTATATTCGTTTACTCGCCGACCCACTGTTGGCATCATGCGTCAAGTGGTCCTGCCACTAATGGAGAGATGACCCAGCACACCATCCATAATATAAAACCACAGAATTTATACGTTAATAAGTCTGTATAAAAGGTCTTTATAACATCCTTGTTTCGGTACACATCATCAAACATTCAGCCTAAATGCTCTGGAGGGACCTCAAACATACATTTTCCCTAGGCTATATGACACTTAATAGGTATTTCCCAGTTTTTTAAGAGAATAAATTAAGGATGTGGCATGTCTAAAATTCTATTTTATGCATTTACATCATAATATATTTTTAAAAAAGCGAATGGACTGAAATATCACAGATATTAACATATATATATAATAAATATAACAGAGTCGACACATAATTAATTTACTAATAATGAATCCTAAACATTTAGCCCAAATGAATGAAGATAGAATAATGACACAACTAAAAATCTTCTTACAAATATATTATGCTGTATATTTTAAACTCAGAATTATAAATCACAGTATTGTCTCCCCCTTGTGGTCATTAAAGACCTGCAGAATCACTGTCATCTGAAACAAACACTATAAGATTAAATAACCTTAATTAGATGGTTATTTAAGAATCGTGACAAAGCAATAAATGAGACTACAGTGTTTAGTGTTCACCTGTAGTTGTTCTCGCATCGCTCCCTGCTCCTTAGTGAACTTCTGCTCAAACTCTTTCCTTTCCTGATAGAGAACACACAATACGTAAATACGCAGCTACTCATTAATAAGAGCCCAGTGTAATGAGACTGTGGAGCAGCTCACCTTCTGCAGCTGATCTGAGAGCTCCTGAGACTGCTTCGTCTGAAACAAAACATTTCAATGATGAGTTTAAGTTCACACATACAGTTTAAGTCAGAATTTTTTTTCCCCCTGTTAAATTTAAATTCTTTTATATTATTTTCTGTGTGTGTGTGTGTGTGTGTGTGTGTGTGTGTGTTAATATCATCAGAGAGTACATTACGCACACACACAGCCTTACCAGAGTCTCCAGTTTGGACGTGAGCTGTGTGTTGGTGAGAGCGCTGGAGTCCAGAGCAGCGGATAACTCCTGATTACGAGTCTGAGAAACAAGAAAGGAGATGATAATCAGAAACATTCTTACATAAACCATCTAAATAACATATAGTTGTGCAGCTTATATACATTTAAATATGTTTGTTTATATATATATACGCACGCACGCACACACACACACACACACACACACACACACACACACACACACACACACACACACACACACACACACACACACACACACACACACACACACACACACACACACACACATTAACAAATAAAATGATGGACAAATTTGTCAGTATGATGAACCACGATAATCATCCCCTTTTTGATACAGTCCAAGCATGTGCAAACTCTTTAAGTGCAAGATTAATTCAATCCCCGTGTTACAGAAAAAGATACAGGAAGACATTTTTACCAACAGTGATCAGATTGTAGAACCAAAATCTAGATGAATCGTGCACAATTGTAATAGTTAATAGATATGGACAAGTGTTTCCTCGTTGTTTTTGAAACTAAGGTGCGCAGTATGAGTGTAATTTTCTTACTGTTTTATATATATGTAACTTATATGATCTATTTTTAGTACGGAGAGCTCTGCTGTGATGTGAATTTTACCTTTAGGGATTAATGAAGTCAAACAAACAAACATGCATACACACAGTGCTCAGCATATACAGTTGAAGTCAGAATTATTAGCCCCCTTTTGATTTAGATTTTCTTTTTTAAATATTTCCCAAATGATGTTTAACAGAGCAATGAAATGTTCACAGTATGTCTGATAATATTTTTTCTCCTGGAGAAAGTCTTATTTGTTTTATTTCGGCTAGAATAAAAGCAGTTATTAATTTTTTTAAAAACATTTTTGGGACTAAATTATAAGCCCCTTTAAGCTAATTTTGTTTCCGATAATCTACAAAACAAACCATCGTTATACAATGACTTGCCTAATTACCCTACCCTGCCTAGTTCATCTTATTAACCTAGTTAAGCCTTTAAATGTCACTTTAAGCTGTATAGAAGTGTCATAAAAATATCTAGTAAAATATTATTTACTGTCATCGTGACAAAGAGAAAATAAATCAGTTATTAGAAATGAGTTTTTAAAACTATTATGTTTATAAATGTGCTGAAACAATCTTCCCAGAACAGAACAGAAATTAGGGGGAAAAAAACAGGGGCGCTAATAATTCAGGGGGGCTAATAATTCTGACTTAAATTGTATGCATGCATACACCCCTCACAAATCTCTCTTTTAAATTGATATGTTTAGTATAGGAAGCTCTGGAATATTATATTTGTGCATATACGTTAGATTAGTCAGTACTGAAGCCAAATTTTGAGCTTTTCCAACAAAATAACGATAATAACAGCCCAAAAACTAGAACAGCCAAATTTATATATTATAGAAAAAATATTAAATGCAAATTTTAAAAAAGAGGAGAACAAAAACAAGAGAAGCAAAAAAAATTTAGTTAAAACTTTGCAGGTTGTAATTTATTTTTGCAATATTTTGCTTGAATTTAATTGTATTATCTTTCAATTTCTAAATATGTTTTGGTAACTAAATTATTAGTAAATAAATATATCTGTTTAATAAATCTGCTTTGTTTAAATTCAGCAAAATCCACTGCCTATATTCACTGAGAAATGGGAAAAATAAACCATTTTCAAAATAGGCTGTACTCAATTATGCTGAGCACTGAGACGATAAGGCTGTATTAGTTAATGTTAGTTAATGCATTAGTAAACATGAATTAACAGTTAATGACACATCTGTTCAGCATTTAAATAATCTTGGTGAAAGCGCTAAGATTGTGGCCGTTAAACAAGATGTAAATTAAGTATTTTGTGTTTCCAAAAGGAGTAATGATGCTACAAATAGAGAATTAAAAAAATTCAGCACGCAACTAACACACAAAAATAAACTCCATTTCAAAATACATTCATCACTCTTACTACAAGCGGTAATAATATTTCACAACTCCACTGCATTGATAATCAACTAAATACATCTTTGGCTAGCAGAAAAGACTTCTAATGCTAATTTAGGCTCCTAACAGAGTGAAACTAAGTTATAATCAGCTCTTTGTTCTGCTGAACAGGCGTGTTTGTGTAGCAGAAACAGGATGTTTGTTCAGTGTGTAGCAGGACATCATGGGAGCGTCGAATCAAATATCAGAACTAGCCCTACAGGACAAACCTACTGCACTAAATAAAGAGTTAAATTACAGCAGACAGAGGAAGATAGAGAGTTTAGATTTGTTTTTAATCTTAATTTTCTGCAAGAAAAGATTAAATAGTTCTTGATTTCATCTGTATTATGCATCGTATATCATATAACTTCATTTAATGCTGCCATGTCAGCAATAAAGGCTATTTCAATTTCCATAAAATTCATACAAAATTAATAAATACAATCAAATTCACACATATTAAAAATTAGATAAGACTTATGTTAATATATGATCTAATTGCTAAAACAAAATCTCGTATCGCTCTCAAATAATGATCCATTAATGTATTAACTAAAACAATTATTAATAATTTATTATGGCATTTATTTGTTTACTTCGCTTCGATTTATCTGCTGTATAATCTTGTGATTTTTATTAGTTACATATTTAATATATTGTAAAATAATTTACAATCTTAGTGTGTGATTTATTTGGAACCAGCCAGGTTTTTGCTTTGGTTGTACAATTATATGGTGTGTTAATTTAATTGTGTCTTGGATTGATGTATTTGGATATGTCCTCTATGATGTTTATTTGTTTGTTTACTGTTTTAAAATAAAGATTACACATCTCAAAAGGCTTAAAACACTGAGTGGTGTCTACAGCTTCAAGTAAAAATAAATAAATAATTAATTCAGTAAATGAATGAACCAATCTGGCATTGTCCTAAACAGTTGACAGCAGTAAACCGCAAGCTATTTTCATCCTAAGAGCTTGTGCTTCAATAAGATTATCCTGCTTGAGTGCGATTAGTGAGTGTTTTGAGTGGTAATTGTAACCCGCCAGAGCAAAACTAAATCACCTTACAGCACAGCTTTGCACACAGACTCTTTGAATGGTGTTTAATGTTAAAAGAGCAAATGTAAATGAATAGTAGATTTATTGTAATACCTCCAGCTCCTTCTCATTGACCGCGGGTGGATCGCTGTCACCATTGATGTGTGTTGATGACTGAATTAAACAGAGGAGAGAAACAAAACAAATATTAGCACTTATAATATAAGGCTTGTAAAAAATCATTACATTTTAATTGCCAGTCTCTCAGAGTAGTGGCGTTTCTCTTCAATAACTAGTAAAAGAATAAATAATTATTTAGTGTTAATAATAAAAATAGCATGATAGCAGAGAAGTGGAGAGAGATTCAGACCTCAGAGAGCAGACCGTTGAGCTGCTGAGAGAGCTGTCGGAGGCTTTCGGTGGACGACAGCGGCCTGCTTACACACATACGCACACACAGCATTATTGAACTCACTATTAACACCACATTCATCAAGCAGACAATTTATAACATGTAGTGATTCTGTATATTGATTTTGTGCTCCACAAGTGTAAGAGTAAATGACACTTTTCAAAACTTTACACTGGTAGACTTCTTGCTATATTTCTAATTCCCATTACCGAGTAGTTCACTGCTTTTAATAAATTTTTAACAAACAAAAGTAAGTAGGTAGGTAGATAAAAGTTGAAGAAAAATCCTACTAATGAAACACTTTATTTTACTGCTGGAAACTCGTGGTGATGCAATGTAAAGTGCTACTATGAAATAAAGAGCAAGTTCACCTGTTGTTTTCCAGGGGGTGTTCATCGCCGTTGGCATCTGCTGGATAATTCTGCGGGGAAAAAAAATCATATTGAGTTGAGACACGTATTAAGATTGACACAAGAAAACAAAACTGACAAACCAGACAAAGCACTGCTGTAAATTAAAGGTGCAGTATGTAAGTTTGACACCCAGTGGTTGAGCTAGGTATTGCACTTCTGCATCAAAACAAATGCAAGCACATGTTGCCAGATTGAGGACAGGAACGAGTGATTTAAACTGTGTTCCAAATAAAAGCAACGGCACATGATAGAAGGAATATTTTCCATATTAAAAAGAGTTTTTATCCTAACCAACACCTGAAATGTATATTTTAGAAATGGCTTCTATTTCTCACAGCTGAACAACAGAAAACTGACAATGATCAGCTCAGGTAGACATCATGGGCTTTATTAAGTGTTAAATGCTAATAATGCGAGTCTGAATGTCATTTTACATCACATTTATTGCCATACTACTGAAATCAGCAGCAGATAGTTCAGCTCAGAACTGGAGAATAAAATAAACCGTTTGAAACTGAACTTCAGAACTAAACAAATTAGTCCTTTATCATCTACATTTAATAATGTTAAAGAGGTTTAATATGTATTCACTAGATTATAAACCTTACCATTTGGTGAGTGATTGCATTCTGTGCTTCTAAATGGCTGTATTTAATTTTCTGTCGCGTTTCGTCTGGTGAAAACAGCCAAATTGTTCATCACTGCGTATCACGTCATGTAGAGTGTTGTTGGGACATGGGGTTACAGTGTAATGTTTGCTAATTGATAACCACCTCATGTGGAACTCTGACTCTGCGTCTCATTTCGGAGTCTGCTACTGTCCACCAGAGATCACATTTCAGTCACGGACACATGCTTTAAGAGCCTTTCTGAATGAATGAATGAATGAAATAAACGTTTTCATTTTAGAACGTTTTCATTTTTTGAAAATGCAAAAGAGGCCATATTCATTTTAAAACGCTGCTGCTCTGTCTCAGTGGATGGGGGAAAAATGGAGACATCTGAAAACGGAGGTGGGGCTGCAGACATTCGCCTCTCTGATTGGGGCTTTTCCTCAATATTAAGTAGCCTACACACACAGTTCAGTCCTGCATCTTCTCCTTATAAGTTCAGACTTTGTAAGTTTGATATGGAAAACAAACTCCCGAGGACAAGTCGGGTAAATCTTCAAAGGAACAGTGTACTTTATAACCTTCACATCACCATGGTTACGTTGTTTCACTTTCATAACAATAAAATGAAAACATGATTGAAGGAACTGTCTATTTACTAGTGGTGGGCCGTTATCGGCATTAACGTGCTGCGTTAACGCGAGACTCTTATCGAGCGATTAAAAAGAAATATCGCCGTTAATCCATTCTCAAAGTTGGGTTGGGAGCTGGGTCTACACTACGCAAGCTATGATGACTTTCACCTTGATAGTTTAGCGCTGATGTATACCTGGCCGAATTGCACTGTAGGGGGCGAGAACGAGTCTTTAAACCTGTGTGTATTCCTACTGTGAAATGACCACATCAAACATGACGTGCTAACACGGATGCAGTTCACTGGAGTGAATAGGATTAATGTTAGCTCCTCCACATCTGACTATCAGACACCTGTAGAGTTTATGCGTTCAAATAAAACATACGCAAATAAAATGGAGCAGGTGCTTTTTAAAATGAATGAGGGTGAATGAAAGTCGGCAAAACAGTGCCTTTCTGAATCAAATCAGCAGGATGCCCTTCTGGATCTTTCACTTACTTTGAAGACACTACTGACTATGCTTACGTAGACATCTGTAATCTAGTTATTTGCCTTAATAGACAATATTATAGTTAAGGTGTTTAGATAAAGTGCTTTCATCTAAGAGTTTCCTGTAATTTTGGGTGACTAACTGCAGTTCGGCAGTTTCACTTTTACTCATGAACATTTCATTCATGCCCCTGTGACAGACTGGGGTATTAGACGTAAATAAGGAGCGAGGACTGGTAAGAGTGTTATGGAATTTAATAATGCACGCCAAATGGAAAGGAAAAAACTTCCACATTTCGCAAAGTGTGTGTGTGTGTGTGTGTGTGTGTGTTTCTTTATGAGAGCATTGTGTGTGGATTTTGTCGGAAAATTTGTTGAAAAGTCTTACATGACGGTAATAGTTTGATTGCGATGTTTACTTCAATAATGCTACTTATATGTGCATCCTCCACATGTCTTAACTCCATTTCTGTTCAGTTCAGTTATGACTTTAGTCGCATTAAGGTGATCAAAACTGGCTGTTTTGGAGCTTATGTAGGCCTACAGTTCAACATGTTTACCTGAATAAACAGTGAGTAAACACAAGTACATCTTATTGAACATCATTTATTTTCATCAACAATTATCATAGTAGAACAGTTTCTCAAGCAGTTTGTGATGCATTTTGGAAACAGGAGATGAGCCCCTGCTCTAATGCGCCACCTGGCTTGAAAAAACCCATTCTCAAAGACTTGCTTTAGTCATTATTTGGGTAGCACACATATTCTGAATTCAAATGAGCCATTTTAATCTAGATTAATTCCATGATTAAGGTGAGATTAATCTAGATTTAAAAAAATTAATCTATGGCCACCTACACTATTTACATTTTGATATGAATTTAACAGACACCAAAAATTGAGGCGTCGTGTAGCTGCATATTCATACGAGCGTCATCTTAACCGTGCATATTTATAACAAAACAGAGCCTATAACATAACTGCCTCCTTTCGTTTTCATTGAAAATATTGAAACATAGCCTCTCTTTTACGGAATGGCTATTATAAAAGTAGAACGTAAAATAAGTTCATACACTAAAGCAAATAAAGGCAAACAATCAGTCAAATGTGCAGAATCACGTTACCTGAGAACAAGTCGAGAATATGTCGTTAGATAGAGACAAGATAAATTAAATATCATGTTTAGCAAATGTAGTGAGATTAGATCCAGCGAGATCTAGAACAGTTCGGCGTGCACAGCTCTCGTATGAGTAGATGTGCCTAAAGCACGCTGCAGTGATGTGCGATTTCAGTGGTGTAGTGTGGACGGAGAGTTGGGTGAAATGCCAGAGTGGACATGGATCGTTTTCATTCTGAAACGCCATTTTAAAACTAAAGCGTATTAGTGTAAACGGGGCCTTATACTTCTGCGTTCGGTCTGTGCTGCTCTGCAATAAAACTAGTAGGCAGTGAGGTTTTTGTGCTTTCTGTGCACACGTTTGGCACTTTAAATCATACTTTGACTGCACTTAACCTGCAAACTAGAATAGAAAATGTACCAATGCACAATACTGCCTTTTACCTATGTGTGGGGCTGTTCTTTTTATGAGAGAATCCTGTATAAGCACAGCCCAGGGGTGTCTCCTCATCGGTTAATAACACTATATTTTATTGCACAACAATTATCCGGCTTTTTGGCTAATAGAGAGAAATGACTCATCCTGTGAGTTGGCGGTCAGCAACTGTGATCTGCTGACACAGACAGAAACAAACATAAACACAGACGGACCTGCGGTGCAGAGTTATCAGTGTTAATAGCAGAAGCAGGGTTAGAGACGTGTTCAGCGCCGGCCTCCTCCAGCTCCTGCGAGACATCCACACGCTCCTGATGCAACACACACATACGTCAGTGGGTTATAAACACACTACTGCACACACACACAGACAAATACAGCACAAATACGCACACAAAAACATTTTATTCTTCATTAAGAAACCCGGCAATCAAGTTTATAATAAACATTTTTTATAGATATTTTATAGATTGTTTACCAAAACTGTGTCAAATTGTGAAATATAATTACAATTTAAATAAGCTTTTGTATACTAATACACTATATTTATTGCTGAATCTCTTGATTGATTCTAAGCTTTGTTTTTACTAATAGACGGCGGTGATGTCTGCTGTTAAAAACCAGACTAGAATGTGGTCTGTTGTTAAAAACTAGCCTACATTGCTATTTGCTGTAAAAAACTAGCCTAAATCACCTCACCATCCGCTGCAAAAAGTGAGCTGTTACACTGCTGCTAAACACTAGCCTAGAGTGCCGTCTGCTGTTAAACACTAGCCTAGAGCGCCATCTGCTGTTAAACACTAGTCTATAGCACCATTTGCTGTAAAACACTAACCTAGAGCGCCGTCTGCTATTAAACACTAGCATAGAGCGCCATCTGCTGTTAAACACCAGCCTAGAGCGCCGTCTGCTGTTAAACACTAACCTAGAGCGCCATTTACTGTTAAACATTAGTCTAGAGCACCATTTGCTGTTAAACACTAACCTAGAGCGCCATCTGTGTTAAACACTAGCCTAGAGCACCATTCGCTGCTAAACACTAGCCTAAAGCGCCGTCTGCTGTTAAACACTACCCTAGAGCACCGTCTGCTGTTAAACACTAGCCTAGAGCACCGTCTGCTGTTAAACACTAACAGCATAAATACGATTAGGTTAGGTTAAATACTAACCTAGAGCGCCATCTGCTGTTAAACAGTAACCTAGAGCGCCGTCTGCACTAGCCTAGAGCCACATCTGCTGGTAAACACTAACAGCATAAATACGATTAGGTTAGGTTAAATACTAACCTAGAGCGCCGTCTGCTGTTAAACAGTAACCTAGAGCGCCGTCTGCTGTTAAACACTAGCCTAGAAAACCATCTGCTGTTAAACACTAACAGCATAAATACGATTAGGTTAGGTTAAATACCAGCCTAAAGCGCCATCTGCTGTTAAACACTAGCCTAGAACACCATCTGCTGTTAAACACTAACAGCATAAATACGATTAGGTTAGATTAAATACTAACCTAAAGCGCCATCTGCTGTTAAACACTAACCTAGGAGCGCCTTCTGCTGTTAAAAACTAGCCTAGAGCACCGTCTGCTGTTGGACACAGCCTAGAGCACCATCTGCTGGTAAACACTAACAGCATAAATACGATTAGGTTAGGTTAAATAACCTAACCTAGAGCATAATCTGCTATTAAACACTAACCTAGAGCGCCGTATGCTGTTAAACACTAACCTAGAGCGCCGTCTGCTGTTAAACACTAACAGCATAAATACGATTAGGTTAGGTTAAATACCAGCCTAGAGCGCCATCTGCTATTAAACAGTAACCTTGAGCGCCGTCTGCTATTAAACACTAACCTAGAGCGCCGTCTGCTGTTAAACACTAACAGCATAAATACGATTAGGTTAGGTTAAATACTAACCTAGAGCGCCGTCTGCTGTTAAACAGTAACCTAGAGCGCCGTCTGCTGTTAAACACTAGCCTAGAGCCACATCTGCTGGTAAACACTAACAGCATAAATACGATTAGGTTAGGTTAAATACTAACCTAGAGCGCCATCTGCTATTAAACAGTAACCTTGAGCGCCGTCTGCTGTTAAACACAAGCCTAGAAAACCATCTGCTGTTAAACACTAACTGCATAAATACGATTAGGTTAGGTTAAATACCAGCCTATAGCGCCATCTGCTGTTAAACACTAGCCTAGAACACCATCTGCTGTTAAACACTAACAGCATAAATACGATTAGGTTAGGTTAAATACTACCCTAAAGCACCATCTACTGTTAAACACTAACCTAGGAGCGCCTTCTGCTGTTAAAAACTAGCCTAGAGCGCCGTCTGCTGTTGGACACAGCCTAGAGCACCATCTGCTGTTAAACACTAACAGCATAAATACGATTAGGTTAGGTTAAATACTAACGTAGAGCATAATCTGCTATTAAACACTAACCTAGAGCGCCGTATGCTGTTAAACACTAACCTAGAGCGCCGTCTGCTGTTAAACACTAACAGCATAAATACGATTAGGTTAGGTTAAATACCAGCCTAGAGCGCCATCTGCTATTAAACAGTAACCTTGAGCGCCGTCTGCTATTAAACACTAACCTAGAGCGCTGTCTGCTGTTAAACACTAACAGCATAAATACGATTAGGTTAGGTTAAATACCAGCCTAGAGCGCCATCTGCTATTAAACAGTAACCTTGAGCGCCGTCTGCTATTAAACACTAACCTAGAGCGCCGTCTGCTGTTAAACACTAACAGCATAAATATGATTAGGTTAGGTTAAATACTAACCTAGAGCGCTGTCTGCTGTTAAACAGTAACCTAGAGCGCCGTCTGCTGTTAAACACTAGCCTAGAGCCACATCTGCTGGTAAACACTAACAGCATAAATACGATTAGGTTAGGTTAAATACTAACCTAGAGCGCCGTCTGCTGTTAAACAGTAACCTAGAGCGCCGTCTGCTGTTAAACACAAGCCTAGAAAACCATCTGCTGTTAAACACTAACTGCATAAATACGATTAGGTTAGGTTAAATACCAGCCTATAGCGCCATCTGCTGTTAAACACTAGCCTAGAACACCATCTGCTGTTAAACACTAACAGCATAAATACGATTAGGTTAGGTTAAATACTAACCTAAAGCACCATCTACTGTTAAACACTAACCTAGGAGCGCCTTCTGCTGTTAAAAACTAGCCTAGAGCGCCGTCTGCTGTTGGACACAGCCTAGAGCACCATCTGCTGTTAAACACTAACAGCATAAATACGATTAGGTTAGGTTAAATACTAACCTAGAGCATAATCTGCTATTAAACACTAACCTAGAGCGCCGTATGCTGTTAAACACTAACCTAGAGCGCCGTCTGCTGTTAAACACTAACAGCATAAATACGATTAGGTTAGGTTAAATACCAGCCTAGAGCGCCATCTGCTATTAAACAGTAACCTTGAGCGCCGTCTGCTATTAAACACTAACCTAGAGCGCTGTCTGCTGTTAAACACTAACAGCATAAATACGATTAGGTTAGGTTAAATACTAACCTAGAGCGCCGTCTGCTGTTAAACACTAGCCTAGAGTGCCGTCTGCTGTTAAACACTAACCTAGAGCGCCGTCTGCTGTTAAACACTAACAGCATAAATACGATTAGGTTAGGTTAAATACTAACCTAGAGCATAATCTGCTATTAAACACTAATCTAGAGCGCCGTCTGCTGTTAAACACTAACCTAGAGCGCCGTCTGCTGTTAAACACTAACAGCATAAATACGATTAGGTTAGGTTAAATACTAACCTAGAGCATAATCTGCTATTAAACACTAACCTAGAGCGCCATATGCTGTTAAACACTAACCTACAGCACCGTCTGCTGTTAAACACTAGCCTAGAGCACCGTCTGCTGTTAAACACTAGCCTAGAGCACCATCTGCTGTTAAACACTAACCTAGGAGCGCTGTCTGCTGTTAAACACTAACCTACAGAGCCGTCTGCTGTTAAACACTAGCCTAGAGCGCCGTCTGCTGTTAAACACTAAGCTAGGAGCGCCGTCTGCTGTTAAAAACTAGACTAGAGCACCATTTGCTGTTAAACACTAGCCTAGAGTGTCTACTGCTATTAAACACTAACCTAGAGTGCCGTCTGCTGTTGAACACTAACCTAGAGCACCATGTGCTGTTAAACACTAGCCTAGAGCACTGTCTGCTGTTAAACACTAGCCTAGAGCACCATTTGCTGTTAAACACCACAGATATTTACATTAGATGTCGCCTATGCTTTTGTTGTCTATTGGAAGGAACGCATCAATAGACCTACTGTTTTAGTACAGGGTAGTGCTCCTTTGAAATTAATTTCTCTGTATAAAAGACTTCTGAATAGCAGATTAACCTGCTGCTGAATCTATAATAAAGTAGGAAATTAAACATGACGGAAATGTGGATGATGTGTTGAGATTATTGACAGGTGCATAACAGTCTGTTAATGTAGTCTGTCCCAAAGTTTACACTCTTCCGTGACACACTCAAAAGTATAAAGTTTTTCTTCACAAAAAAAGTACATACTATTATAATGCTAATTGGGACGCAGCAACAGATGAGCAAAAGAAAGGAAGGAGGACAAGAGGAAGGACAGCTCACCTGACTGCTGTTGACAAATGGAGGCTGAGACACTCCATTAGTCAGACTAAGGTCAGACACCATAACTTTGAGAATATTCTCAATCTACAGGGAAGGAGAGGCAGACGATAGAGGAGAAGACGTGAGAGGAGGAAGCAGTAGTAGGAAAATCATTCAGAAAGCTCTGACGAGGCAGGATGAAGGGTTAGTAGTGGCCAACGCAGAACAAAAACCCAACAGCATGTAGAATAATAAACCTTCTGTCAGTTTAAGCCTGGTTTATACTTCTGCGTCAAGTGACCGGCGTAACTCACGGCGCATGCAACGCGCGTGCCTGTGCATTTATACTTCTGCGCGCTGTCTCCGTTGGTCTGCATTAACACTTCCGAAACGCTAGTTGGCAGTGAGGTGTAAATGTTCCTCTGTGTCGAGTTTCTTCGCTTCTGTTTTGCTTTTCCTGAACACTTCCTGGATGTACAAGTGACTCAAACTCGCTCATTTTGAGGCAGGAACCGGCGGACGTGCAACAACTTTAACCATGAGGTAAACACAGAGCAAAACTTTCCATCTGGAGCTCCTTCACGGGACTCCACACTTGTAAACAATCGCTCGCGCCATTCGCGCGGCTCTCGGTCCCGCCCAGACTCGTCGGCGCTAGCAAGCCGACCAATCACAGAGCTTGCGCTACGCGTTGTTGCGACGTGTAGTTACAATTTTTGAGAGGTGCACGTCAGTGACGGCGATGGCCACGGCGAAGGGCTATGCGTCAGCGCCGTAGCCTACGCCGGTGTTTGACGCAGAAGTATAAATCAGCCTTTATATGTCGAATTTACATTTAGTTTTGCATTCAGGAGTTAAAATGAAGTTGTTTTTTTATTTATGGTTTACTTTAATCATATATCCTGTTCTTATTTTTAATAATTGGGTTAATTAAATTGCTTACTTTTTCAGTACATAAATATTATTCACATGCATGTAATAAGTGAACTGTTTTCCTTCATTTCACATGCAAAAACACGCTGAACTAAAACAAATACACATAACAGTTTTTATTTTGATTATGTTCCATAAAGAAAACATTGCTTTTGTTTGTTTATTTTGTTTTAGTTATTAATTTACAGTTATAGTAGTTAATAATCTTATTTAATTTCTAATCTACTCTAAATTCATCCAAAACTAGAAATGTTGCAGTGTCAACTAAATTGAACAAGTTATTATCATATAAAATTTACATTAATTACTAATATAATTACTTTTACTAATGTTTTATGCATTTACATTTATATTATGTACATTATATATATATTTATGATGTGTACAGTGCATCCGGAAAGTATTGATAGCGCTTGACTTTCCACATTTTCATGTTACAGCCTTATTCTAAAATGGATTACATTTATTTATTTTCTCAACATTCCATCACATGTACATCAGTATTCTCAGTTTTTGGCGTGAAGCTCTAAATTGAGCTCAGGTACATTCTGTTTCCACTGATCCTTCTTGAGATGTTTCAGCAGCTTCATTGGAGTTCAGCTGTGGTCAATTCAGCTTATTGGACATGATCTGAAAAGGCTACACCTGTCTATATAAAGCCCCAGGGTTGACAGTGCATGTCAGCACAAACCAAGCATGAAGACAAAGGAATTTCCTGTAGACCTCAGAGACAGGATTGTCTGGAGGCACAAGGCTGGGTGGGGAAGGTAACAGAAACATTTCTGCTGCTCTGAAAGTTCAATGAGCACAGCGGCCTCCATCATGCGTAAGTGGAAGATGTTTAACCAGCAGGACTCTTCCAGAACTGGCCGGCCATCTAAGCTGAGTGATCGGGGGAGAAGGGCTTTAGTCAGTGAGGTGCAATCCACCAATCAGGCATCTGTATAGTAGAGTGGCCAGACGGAAGACACTCCCCGCCTGGAGTTTGCCACAAGGCATCTGAAGGACTCTCAGAGCATCAAAAACTAAACTCTCTGCTCTGATGAGACTCAAACTGAACTCTTTGGAGTGAACGCCAGGCGTTACGTTTGGAGAAAAGCAGGCAGCGCTCATCACCAGGCTAACAGCATCCCTACAGTGAAGCATGGTGGTGTTGGCATCATGCTGTAGGGATGTGTTTCAGCAGCAGGAACTGGAAGACTAGTCAGGATAGAGGGAAAGATGAGTGCAGCGATGTACAGAGACATCCTGAATGAAGACCTGCACAAGAGTGCTCTCCACCTCAGACTGGGGCGACGCTTCATCTTCCAGTAGAACAATGACCCAAAGCACACCGCCAAAATATCACTGGAGTGGCTTCACAACAACTCAGTGAATGTCCTTGAGTGGCCCAGCCAGAGCCCAGAGTTAAATCCTATTGAACATCTCTGGAGAGATCTGAAAATGGCCGTACACCGTCGCTTCCCATCCAACCTGATAGAGCTTGAGAAGTACAGCAAAGAGGAATGGGCAAACATTCCCAAAGACAGGTGTGCAGAGCTTGTGGCATCATATTCAGAAAGACTTGAGGCTGTAATCTCTGATGAAGGTGCATCAACAGAGTATTGGGCAAAGGCTGTGAATACTGATGTACAGGTGATTTTACAGCTTTTTATTTTTAATAAATTTGCAACAAATTTAAAAACTCTTTGTTCGCATTGTCATTATGGGGGATTGTGTGTAGAATGTTGAGGAAATAAATAAGTTTAATACATTTTGGAATAAGGCTGTAACATAAACAAATGTGGAAAACGTCAAGCGCTATCAATACTTTCCAGATGCAGTGTATTATAAAATGTTGCACATTCTGTAAAATACATTTAACAAATATATATTTTACAAATACAAGTTTTTAAATTTGTTATAGTGTAAGTTTGTTTCCAATTAGCTATTCATTTAGGGCTTCAATTGAAACTATTATTAGGCAACATTTCCAGTTTAATCTAATATTCACATTTATTTCAGTCTTTCTCTATAACAAACAGGCTGCTTTCTATCAGTGCAAACATGACTATTAAAATGCCTTTAAACAAGAAACCGATGATCTAAAACAATCCCTCAAAAAGGTAAAGATTCAATAATTAATTCCATGCAAAACAAAAACAAGATTAGATCCTCGAGCACTTCCTATGGATTAATTCCTGCCGTGGGAAAGCGCCATTACCTGAGCAGTAAACACACAACTAAACCCCATCACAGCAGACAGTCAACAATGATTTACAGCGGTGTTGACGAACTACACACCTGACTCACATTTTCTGGAGAGCGGCGGTCAGCAGGAGCGTCTGTCTGATCTCCTTTAACCTTCCTCTTCTTCTTTGGTCCGGCACTTCCCGTGGATGGAATCGTCTTCTGCTGAAACTCCTTCAGCTGCAGATCAAAACAGCAGACATTTCAAACACACAGATTCCCATTTAAAGAGACACCTATTATGCAAAAATCCTTTTTATGAGGAGTTTAAAAGTCACAGTCAGTGTGTGAATATCTCCAGCCTCTAAGGGCAACAACATTGATTAATTGTCATTTTTATAATCAGACTTGATGAGTGAAACACTTTGATTGGCATTCTCCCATTGTACGTGTCATCAGAGGGGGAAAGCCCCGCCCACTAGTGCCCATCTCTCCATCTCATTAGCATCTCCAGCAGCCCTGAGTGAGAAGCAGCCGTCTGTCCATTCGCCATTAGAGTGTTTGAGCTGCTGAAGATAATGTCAGCATAGACTAAGAGGATTATAGATGTGGAGTTTTAGATGAACAGCCACAGGAGCCACATAGACTGACAGAAATGGGTAAACATGGTACAGTACAATGTGAGTTTTGTACAAATTGATTGTGGGTTTTAAGTCCTCAGGAGGAATTAACTATTGTCACTATCAAGGAAATAGCTTGTTTAAAGTGTAAAAAAATATAAAGTTTCAACTATTATCTACATATAGAGATAAAGGCCTGAGAAATAGATTACCTTATTATACTAATATAAATTCATTATTCACATCAAATGAACTTCACTAAATGTAAACTATACAAAGAAATAATAAAATATATCCAAAACACTGTTCATTTTTCACAGATCCAATAAAATCAACAAAACCCTAAATTAATGTCATTAAATAAGGATTAAAACAACAATTATTCTTCATTCATTCATTTTCCTTCAGCTTAGTCAGGGCTAGGGTTGTAACAATATACCGGTATGACGGTCTACCACGATTTGAACGTGCATGATTATCATACCATGAACAATTGCATATCAACGGTTTTAACCCTTAAAGACCGAGACAGCCGCCCACGGCTAAAAATAAGTATTGCTCTTAAATGTTTAATAACTTTTGATCCGCTGATCCGATTCATACAATTCAAAGATTGGCATAAAGAAGAGAATCTCAGCTTTCCAGTGCTGTATCTTATAACATAACGCGGACTTTCAGAGGCTCCGGAATCAGTGCGATTACGTCATCAAAATTTGACAACGCTGATTTGACAAAGAAACGCTCGTCACTGTGTCTCCGGACAAACCAGACATGATACATTGATGCATTGTCCCTCCTCCATGCCCAGATTGGTTCAAACTCGCTATATCACAACCAATATGCATAGGTTTCGCTTTTGTTTGTGGACCAACAATGAGCTTTTTGAACACGGAATGAGAGATAGGCATACATTTATGCGCGGCTAAATAAAACGCAAAAAAAAAGTTTTGCATGAAATAATTCTCATACTAAGTACTTTTGCATGCAGAGCAGCACAGAAACATGACAAAACAGTGACACAGCAAAGACGAACTGCTGCTCTTGCTGTTTTCAAAAGACGCAAATGAAGGTGCAGCTGTCTGTCTGCATTGCAGACAACCAAATCCAAATCCATATCCACAGACAACCATATCCATGCTGGCACATAAAACCTAAGGATGTTCCATATTGAATCTAGTTTCGTTATGTAACTATTTATAGTATAGTAAATATTTATATCTACTTTTTTACTGAGGATTTGCACCATGTTTATTTGGACTTTATTTATTATTTTCTTATTTTTTTATTTGTTCATTGTACAAGTGGACACATTCTCTCACCTCAGCGGTCAAGATTAAGTCCTGAAAATCTCAACATGCTTACATTTCTTCATCACAACCTAGACTGAAAAAAACAACGCTTTAAATACATGTTTACAGCCATAAACTTGGTATTGCACTTTTGGTCTCCCATTTATCCTGCTTATAAGGAAGGACAGTTTAAGTTTATTTTTGTCTAATCTTAAAAGACCTTGCTTGTTTATTCCTTCTAATTTAATTTATTAAAATGGGAAATTTTTCAGTTTATTTTTATAAAAGACTTCTATAGTTCTATTAAAATGGTTCTTTCAAAAGTTTGTTGAAATAAAACCTTTGTTCAGTCAGAAAACGTGTTCTTATTCTTTTCAGGGTCTTTGCTATGAGAATTACTATTTAATACCGTATACCGCGAAACCGTCAAACCGTGGTATTGTTTTAGACGATTATCATACCGTAAAAAATTCATACCGTTACAACCCTAGTCAGGGCTCAACTATAAGGACTGCCCAGTGGCCTAGGGCCAGCGTGAAAGACGCTAGAGACAGTAGACAGGATTGTTACTGGCCCCTATCGGCCAGTAACGATGAGCACGTTATTTTTTTCCATAACCTGGTAACAACCAGTACAGCCAAAAGATGGCAACATGGCGGCAACATCAAACTATGAGGCTCAAAGAAAATGTCTTTAAAAATGTTTTTAAAGTCTTGGAAGCAGACAATTACATGGGTACAAATTAAGAAATAATAAAAACAAAAAAGAGTTGTCGTCAGTTTGGCAAGCCATTTTTATAAAAATAATTTAGAATTGCTATAAAACACCAGCACATATTCCATACTGCTCTTTTGTTTGCATAAAATCTTGAATTTTGCTCATTATACATTTATTATCATTTTAAATGTTCAAATTCTAGATTCACAGACATTATTTTGCCACATTATTTAAAATATGTGGCTAAAAAATAGTTATAACTTTTTTTTTTTTTTTGGTGGGGCCAGCAAAAATCTCATCCACTGGCTCAATTGGCCCAGTAGAAAAAATCCTTAGCGTTGAACCCTGTTAGTCCCTTGTTTATCAGGGGTCACCACTGCGGAATGAACTACCAACTATTTCAGCATATGTTTTACGCAGCGGATGCCCTTCCATCTGAAACCCAGTATTGGAAAACACCCATAAACCTTCACATTTACACACACACTCATACACTATGAGCAATTTAGCTCATCAATTCCTCTATGGCGCATGTGTTTGGACTGTAAGTGGAAACCGGAGCACCCACACTAAGGCGGGTAGAACATGCAAACTCTACACAGAAATGCCACCTGACCTAGCCGAGGCTCGAACCAGCGACCTTCTTGCAGTGAGGCAACAATGCTAACCACTAAACCACCGTGTCACCCAAATTACTCTTCAGCATTTGTTAAATGTTGTTTTACAAGAAAATATAGGTTTACTTCTAAATCTGCATGATGCACTTCATAAAATTTAAGATAAAAACAAAATTAAACTCTAGACGTTTTATAGTCTTAAATACACTTAATGAGCCGCCAGCTATCATTTGGTTTATTTTCAAGTTTTTCCACTTCAAACTGTGATGTCTAATTCAATATGTGGCTTGCCGATTACAAGCAATTTTGTGCACTTAAGACTGAAGCCTTCAGAGATTTTTGGCCGCTGTTTAATTAAATCAAACATCAATGCAGGAGTTCCAGAAATGACTCGAGTCTATAATCCGTCCTGATTCAGGCACATTCTGCTTTGAATTTAAATCAAGATAACTCAATCAGGTTTCACAGCACCAGCGACTCCTCAGATAGGGCCACTCGGATATAACTTGAAGAACAAGCTAAACAGAGCATCAAAGAAGAAGAAAGACCACTCGTCCAGTCCTGCCAGACCTACGAGTCTCTCTAGTGGGTCAGAAATGTAGTTGTGGGTATTAATAGGGCTGGGCAGTATGAACGAGGGCTGCATGATACTGGAAACATTGAAAAATGGTGTTATTTTGTTTTTCTCCGATATATATTGCGATATGAACACAATTTCACCAGATAACTTGAACATCTCTCTTGGGAAAAAAATAATAATTTAAGATTGACTGTGGTGATTTTCATGCATCAAATATAATAATCACCTACGATCACAGATAAATACAACAGAGAAAAAGATGCATATGAATTAAACCGTGTTTTACAGCTTTCTGAGAAGTCTAACAGTATTTAGGTATAGTAATTGAATAAATCACATCCAAAATAAGACTGCATAGTCTTCATTAAGTAAATAAATCATTACTAATGTTACAAACGGTGCAATTTCTTATGCCTGAATGCTTTTAAAATCATCAAGCCTCAAAAGAACATGCAAATAATAAACTATAATCCACAGATTTAATATTGCATATGCTGCGATGTACCTACTGCGAATGATCACATTGCGATATCAATGCTGAAACCATACATTGTGCAGCCCTAATATAAAGAAATAAGTCATCTCATATCCTGCACGATACTGGAAAAATCTGACACTGCAATATTTTGTTTTGCTGCGATATATATGATATTAATATAACTTCACCAGATGTTTTGATTAGGTCTATTTGGAAAGGTTTCATTTATTTAGATTAAGTGGGATGATCAAGTCAGGGATAAACAAGTAAATCAGCATAAAATATTATGAATTACAAGCATATAAAAATACAACAGAGCAAAAATAAAAGTTAAATAAACAGTGCTTTATGGTTTTCTGAGAAGTCTAACAGTATTCAAGTACAGAAATTTAACAATTTTTACATTTCTGTACTTGTATACTTATTTGTAAATTTTTGTATTTAAAAGAAACAAAATAAACAATGATCCTCAAATGGGTAAGAGATGGCTATCTATAGAAAAAAAAGGATTGATTTTAATTTATTTTACATTTTTGCATTTATACAAAAAAAGCTTCGTTATGGATGTGACATCTCTCCCGTTATGGATGTGACGGATGTGAAACTGCCACTTATGTGACTTTTGTAAATTAAATATAATACTTTGAAAACATTGACAGTAACATTGTTGAGCATTTTAAAGCACTGTAAAATACAAGCCTAGACGAAAAACACAGAAACGGCTTGGCTATTTTGGCGAATACATTATTTTTTTCATGGCAAGGTTGACATTTACATGGAATTGCTCATAAACAGAAGATTAAACTACTTTTATTTGATTCAAGGGAATTAATAAGCATGTGACCACAACAAGCTTTATCTGAGTTATTATTATCATAATTTTCCTCATAATAAAGTATATAATGATGCAACACCTATATCACAGCATAGAATGCTATTATGGAATATTGTGTGCTTTATCCTGCGAAAAAGACACATGATTTTACAGAAGGACTTATTTTTAAACACTCGACTGAAGTTAAAAATGTCATTAAATTTAGTTTTCGCACATGCTTTCGGGTTTAACAAGAGTAATTTTAACTACAAAATGCTGTAGTTCACTGAGAAGCTATGCAAACTGCTGTCAAACATGATTATTTGCGATTTAACAATCGTGTAATAATATTGCATGCTTTGTTTTTCGCAGTGTTGTCAGAGAACTATGTCTTTTATGTAGTAAACACTGCTGAACACACATGCTGGAGATTCACAGTTGATTACAGAGATGCTTTTACAGACAAATGTGCATGCGATTTATCATTCAGCTTGAGTTTAAATACATTTTCTGCATGAAAAGAACCATTTGTTATGTTTTTATTTCATTTAAAAGCATATACTTGAAAATCTACTCATTATAGGTGATTATATTTCTCACAATTAAGAACTTCAGGGTAAATCTTTGATTAAATTTTAAAATCTAAAATATATATCAATTAAATATTAACCACTTTTTAAAAAAATAAATGATTATAGGTCTAACAAAGTATTAGTAAATAAATTGAAAAATGTAAACATTGTATTTTCAGGGGCGACGCAGTGGCGCAGTAGGTAGTGCTGTCGCCTCACAGCAAGAAGGTCGCTGGTTCGAGCCTCGGCTGTGTCAGTTGGCGTTTCTGTGTAGAGTTTGCATGTTCTCCCTGCGTTCACGTGGGCGTTCGCTCCAGTTTCCCCCAGAGTCCAAAGACATGTGGTACGGGTGAAATGGGTAAGCTAAATTGTCCATAGTGTATGAGTGTGAATGAGTGTTTGTGGATGTTTCCCAGAGATAAGTTGCAGCTGGAAGGGCATCCACTGCGTAAAAATGTGCTGGATAAGTTGGCAGTTCATTCTGCTGTGGCGACCCCGGATTAATAAAGGGACTAAGCCGATAAGAAAATGAATGAATTAATGTATTTTCAAGATGTTTCTGTCTGCAGTCTGTAATGGTGTTTATATAAATGATGAATTGTATAACAGTAAACAATGTATTTTATGACACCACTACATAAGCAATAGGTCATAATATGAAAAGATAGACTGCTTATTTCATCATAAAAGTATTGCTAAATAACATGTAAATTATAAACATTGTATTTTCAAGATTTCAGCTCTCATGATGCTGTTATTCGTGTTTCTGTCTGCATCTCTGTAATGGTGCGTAATACTACGCTTATATAAATCATGATAAAAAAAGCATCACCATAAACAATGTCGTTTATAACACCACGATATAAACAATATAGCCTAACATGAAGCGATACACTGTTTATTTTGTCATATTGCACAGCCCTAGTTTTATATGTGATTAGGCTGTCATGGGACGAATGCATCTAAATCAGCTCTCATCTGACCGAGCCATAACTGAAATTCCAAAGCTGACTGATTGAGTCTTGTTGACATTCCAGACCACAGACAGCATAAAGAGCAGCAGCTGAGATTCAAGTATTCATAAGCTCCCTGCGTAGACAGCAAATGGCCACCTTACTAGTCAGCACTCACATGATCTCAAAACACAGTAATAATTACAGGTTTGACCAGTCACTTAATCATTTTAAACTTAAATCATGAACTAAACAGTAGTTATAAAGCACAAACACTAGGTCAGTTCACCTAAAACTAAAATCAATGTCATAATTTAAGTAGAAAGCTGAAAACAATGACTTCCATAGGAGAAAACAACAAATACTATGGAAGTGAGTGGTTAAAAATCATCAGCATTTTTCAAAACATCTGCTTTGGTGTTCAACAGAAGAAATACACTCATTAAAATGTGATAAATGGTGAGTAAATAGTGAGTACATTGTATTTTTTTAGATGAACTATCCCTACTTTAGTTAAACCAGCTGTTTCAATTAGAGCTGTCATTTTAGCAAGCAGCTAACTAGTAAGCTAACGCTAATCATCTAGTTAAATAGGACTTAAATCAAGAATTTTGTTTTTTATTTTAAAATAACGACTTTAAGTTAGAGCCACGTTTTACTTTTATTTTAAAATAATTCAGTGTTTCTATGTTTTAATCTGGTTAACGTAGCTGACGCCGAATCAGAAGATAATAACATTAGCGTGACTGATCTCCTCGCACTTTATAGCACAACTCTAATAGGTTAAACTTGTCGTATACATAAGTAAAGTGATATATTTGGTGTTCTTGATGTTTAAGCTCTTCTCTCGGCTCAGTCCTCGGTGTTTCCTGACGGCCGCGCCCGTCTGAGAGCGCTGGTATTCGGGCACAGGCCCGCGGAGTGGCCGGCAGACGTGGAATGTCAACATGACATATAAAACACACGCGCTCGGACGCGGTTCAAACTCACTCAGCAGAAGCACTTTGTCACATAATAGTTGATAAATGTCGGAAAAGTTCATAAATGTACCTTTTTCTTAGCTGCAGCGAGTTTGATTTGCCTGTTCTGGTCCGCCATCCTCTCGCGCAGCTGAGCGAACGACACCACGTCATCAGATCAGCCGTGTGCGCGCGCCACACACACGCACTCGTCCCCGCGCGCTACACTCACATACATACACACACACACTCTTCTACAAAAAAATCTTGTCTAATAAATCTGTTGAAGTCTCTGTCAAAATCATTCATAATTGCTACCCAGTAAATATTAAACTAGCTATATTTAATAACATTATTTCCCCCTAAATGCTCACGTTGGTCTCAGTATGAGTATTATGAGTGTATCTCAGTATTATTTTGGGAGTGTACTTCCTGTAAAGTGTCTTGGCTTGACTTTTCCAATTGTATTCAAAAAAAATTATTTACAAACTTGTTTATATCCCCTTTTCTATATCTATATGTCTGATTACATTCGGAAAATGCAACCTGTAAGAGCTTTATTTTCTAAAACATATGCAAAATCCAATGGAAACTCTATTTACTTCATTGACATTTCTTAAAATGTCAACCTGATAATTTCTAGTACTGCAATAAATTTTCTGCATTTAAATCTAGTATGCACATTATCCCACATATTCACAATCTTCCCATCTGGTGTAGATTTAATACATATCTTTAGGGATGGCACGGTGGCTCAGTGGTAAGCACTGTCACCTCACAGCTAGAAGGTTGCTGGTTTGAGTCCCGGCTGGGTCAGTTAGAGTTTCTGTGTGGAGTTTTGCATGTTCGGTTTCCCCCGTAGTCCAAACACTTGCGCTATAGGGGAATTGATGAACTAAACTGGCCGTAGTGTATAAATGTGTGTGTGTGAATGAGTGTGTATGGGTGTTTCCCAGTACTGAGTTGTAGCTGGAAGGGCATCCGCAGTATGAAACATTTGCTGGATTAGTTAGCGGTTCATTCTGCTGTGGTGACCCCTGATGAATAAAGGGACTAAGCTGAAGGAAAATGAATGAATGAATAAATCTATAATGCACATTTTCCCACACATTCACAAACTTCCCATCTAATTAATTATTAATTAATTAGCTTTTGGAAAGCAGTGTCATTTTATATTATCTATGTAAAAGATGTAACTTTTACTTTTTTTCGTCGGCGCAATATTCTAGTGGTTAGCACGCCGAAATATCGTGCAATAGCACGTCAGGGCGTCCTGAGTTTGAATCCCGGCTCGACTCCTTATATATATATATTTTTATATATATATAACTTTTTTTATCATTAACAATTTTAGTTTTTTATTTTATACATTTATCTTTAATTTCTTTGATTTACTTTTTAATTTAATATAATTTAAGCAGCAATAAAACTAAGAGTTTTAGTGCTTCACAAGAAACTTATTTTAGTCATTTTCATTTTCAATTTCTCAAATATTTAATTAAATTTATTGTTTTCATCTAAACAATGTCATTTATTTGCAAAACATAGCATTGTTTGTGTACATTGTGTGTGTGTGTGTGTGTTGGGGGGGGGGGGGGGGTTACCTTCAACACTGAGTTCCAAATTCTTTTTTTTTTAAATGAGCAGAATTAACTTTTAGTCCATTTGGAGCTAACTACACTCATTTCATTTGATAAAGTTTTTACAGTTTACAAAAAAGAAAGGAAAAAACAAGTTCTGAAAGAGGTCAAGCCTCACCCAGCCCAGGTAATAAAAAGTAATGCAAAAGTAACTCAAAAGTACCGTACCACATCATTTATTATAAAGAAGTAACGCAAATAGTTTTGGGGAGTAACTCAATATTGTAATGCAATACTTTCAAAAGTAACTTTCCCCAACACTCTATACCAGTGGTTCTCAAACTTTTTTCATCAAGTGCCACCTCAGAAAAAAATTGTCCCTCCAAGCACCACCATATGACCAGTATTGAAATACAGTAGTGTAGTAGGCTAAATTAAGCAACTACAGCTCTGCACAGTTTTAAAACTTGGCAGATTAATTACTATTATTAATAATACTTATTATTATCTACCACTTTAAACCTTATAAATAATTTGAACATTAATACTGCTGCGTTTATATGTAAAAAAAAAAAAAACAAACAAACAAAGTAAAATGTCAACGTTTAATTTAAAATGTGCTTTTAAAAGTTCATTAAAAGTGGTAGGCTACTGTTCTTAAAAAGTAAAATATATATATATCCTGTACTTAAATGTAAAGTGTTAACCTATAGTATCCTATTCATCAAAGCCTAGAAATGCTGCTTGAACCTCATAAACATAGGCTAAATGTCATCATATTTATATGAACCATTTTTGATACATTTTAAAGAATATGTTGCATGTACATTGACATATTGAATTACTCGTGTGTACCACTAGAAGGCAGCCCGCGTACCACTAGTGGTACACAAATCACAGTTTCAGAACCACTGCTCTATACAGTTGAAGTCAAAATTATTAGCTCCCCTGTTTATTTTTCCTCCCAATTTCTGTTTAACGGAGAGAAGATTTTGTTAACACATTTCTGAACATAATAGTGTTAATAACTCATCTCTAATCACTGATTTATTTTCTCTTTGTCATGATAACAGTAAATAGTATTAGACTTGATATTCTTCAAGACACTTCTATACAGCTTAAAGTGACATTTAAAGGCTTCACTAGGTTGATTTGGTTAACTAAGCAGGTTAGGGTAATTAGGCAAGTTATTGTATAACAGTGGTTTGTTCTGTAGACTATCAAAAAATATATAGCTTAAAGGGGCTAATAATATTGACAATATTAAAATGTTTTTTTTTTTTTTTAAATGTAAAAGTATTTGAATTATAGGTAATTATTGTCTACAACAAAACTGTAGATTTCATAAAGTCTTGTGGCATTTATCAGAAAACTTCTAAATTTCACTTCTAAATTCAGCTGGAGAAATCTTTAAATACAATTTCTTACAATAATATTTATAGTAAAATAATTATTTTTATTATTATTATTATTTGTAGTCGTAGTAGTATCTGTATTATTCTGAATAATATTAGTTGTTATTATTTTATTCTTAATTTATTTTAAATATGTTTTCTACAGTTTATTCTCAGTGTTAGACTGCAAAGTGAACAAATATATATTGTACATACATCTGTGCTGAATAAAATAACTGATTTAATTGAGTGTGTTTCTGAATATCTGTATCTGATCTGAAATTGAAACTACAGAGTATCCTTTCTGTGATTGTGCATTTGCTTGTGCCTTTGGGGAAGATTTGCATTATTGGTTATTTTCTAAGTTTGAAGATTTAAATGCTTTACCAAAAGAAAATACACTGTTTGGTTTATTTTTGAAAGATGAAACACACGACTTAGCAATTGACACAGTTATTAGTCTTGGGAAGTTCTTTTTACATAAGAAGAGATTTTTCAGAATTTCTAAGAATTCAGGAATAGTTAAAGAATTAAAATTTTCTCCCAAATTGTATGTTTTTTTTCACAAGGAACTATTCTATCGCTTAAACAAATGAAGAAAAAGAATGCTGTAATTCTCTCTGATTTAATACAACAACTTGAACTTGCTTTTTTATTTTTTATTTTATTATATTTTGTTAATATGCTTGTGTGTTGTCTGATTAAGGAGACTTGTATTTTGTACCAGGCCGTTTATATTTTGTCCAATAATTATAATAATAATAATAATAATAATAATAATAATAATATATATATATATATATATATGTGGGCGAGGCAGTGGCGCAGTAGGTAGTGTTGTCGCCTCACAGCAAGAAGGTCGCTGGGTCGCTGGTTTGAACCTTGGCTCGGTTGGTGTTTCTGTGTGTTTTGCATGTTCTCCCTGCCTTCGCGTGGGTTTCCACCAGGTGCTCCGGTTTCCCCCACAGTCCAAACACATATGGTACAGGTGAATTGGGTTGGCTAAATTGTCCGTAGTATATGAATGTGTGTGTGGATGTTTCCCAGAGATGGGTAGCAGCTGGAAGGGCATCCGCTGCATAAAAATATGCTGGATGAGTTGGCAGTTCATTCTGCTGTGGCAACGCTGGATTGATAAAGGGACTAAGCCGACAAGAAAATAAATGATATATATGTATATGAAATATACATACGTATATATGGTCTGTTCTTCTTCTTCTTCTTCAATTTATTGGCGGTTGACAAACAACAAATGGTGTTTTCCCCCATCAACCCCCCCCCAACCCCTCACCTATTAAATCCTCTCCTTTAAATGAGTATTTTTAAGATACTGCAATAAAAAGGTAAAGCATTTATTTCCTGAGTTATTTTGTAGATTGTCATGTAATTTGAATTGAACTCTTATCTCTTCTAAATTCTCACTAAGATCCCTCTTTTCATCTTCATACTTCATGCAGTGTAATAAAACATGTCCTATCGTCTTTTCTTGTCCACTAAACCAATTGTCCTGTACCATTGTCCTGTACCATGTTTACCCATTTTAAAAAGTGTCCTATTTATTTTTGTGTGTGCAAATCTCATCCTAGATATTATTATCTCCTCTCTCCTGTCTTCCCCTACACTTCTTGTTTCTCCTACTTTCTTTTGAATTCTGTAAAACCACCGGCCCTTTTGTCTCACTATCCCATTGTTTTTGCCACCTTTCCCTCATTCTTTTCTGAATAATTAAATTGAATTTTATTTGCCAGATTTTAGACAAGCTGTACAAAAATACAAGTATCCCATACATTTTTCAATATAATCTGTTGAGGATACAAAAAAAAAAAAAAAAAAAAAAAAAAATATATATATATATATATATATATATATATATATATATATATATATATTTTTTTTTTTTTTTTTTTTTGCATTGCGGTTCTCGCTGTTAAATAAAACAATGAATGGCTTCAAAATACAGTAGATCAGGGATGTCCAAAGTCGGTCCTGCTGATCTTAGCTTCAACTTGCTTCAACACACTTGCCTGAAAGTATAGCAAGAGCTTGATTAACTTGTTCAGGTGTGTTTGATTAGGGTTGGAGCTAAACTCTCTCCAGGACACCGGCCCTCCAGGACCGAGTGTGGACACCCCTGCAGTAGATGCATAAAACAAACAGTACCCCCACATTTTAAAACAGGAACAAAATAATCCACAAATACATTGCTTCATTTATTCATTTTTATT